CGAGCAGGGAGCCCGATGTGGGGCTCGATCCCAGGACCCCGGGATCATGACCCGAGCCGAAGGCAGACGCTTAACGACTGAGCCACCCAGGCGCCCCTGGGATATTGTTTTTCTATCCTACTAAAATCTTTCCCATATAATCAGCCTATCTATTCCCAAGCATGCTGTACGTGAGGCAATGTGAAATCCTTCCCTTCTTCTCACATAGGTTTCTAATTTCTGCATGCCTGTATTCCCTAAGCATTCATTTCCTCAGGCTGATTTAGTCTGTGCAATTGGCAGGGGGCATATCACCAAGTGGGGCCAACACAGGCACAACCCAGAACCAAGGGCAGGCATGGTAGAGGGAAAGGGGGAGGCTTGTGGGTGCTGACCTGGGCCACGGACATTCACATCCAGCACATCCACCTCCTGCTCCGCCTGTGGAGGAGTGAGCGCCAGCGATGGTGTCCTGCGGATATCTGCAGCCTCAAGGTGCTGCTGTGTCCATTGACGTCGATCGATGGCATCATCTTCCTCTGAGAGCAAAGCCTCATCTTCAGCCTGACAGGGGAAAACAGTACTCCCTGTTGACCTGGCCCCCTCTATTAGGAACTGAGGACAAGGAGCTAGTCCGGAGTCTTCTATCCACTTCTCTCTCCTTCTACTCCACCCTCCAGGGCATCATCCACACCAGCTGAAAGTGGTTCCTGTCACCCTCTCCTGTACAACTCTCCCAACCTCCCCATTCCAAACTCCAGGCTTCAGCCTTAACATGCTATCTATTTTGCCTACCAAATATGCTATCTACAGATCCCCAAAGCACCACTTCCTTGCTTCTGGACTTTTGCCTGGGTTGTCCCCTCTGTCTGCCATATCCTCTCCCAAGTCTTTGTCTAACTCCTACCTAGCCTTCAAATAGAATTGGACTTTAATTCCTCTGGTGGGTCCCAAAAAGCACCCTCTGCTTACCTCTACTTAACTGACTATGTGTTAAGTACTTACAAGGCACTCCCGACCACTAGACAGTAAGTTCCATGAGAACAGGAAACATGCCTTATTCAATACCACTTCCCAGTACTTAACACAGGGCCCAGAGCACAGCAAGCACCCAGGGAAATATTTGTTGGGCAATAATTACTATCATAACTTAAAAAGCAGCTACCTTTTATTGAATATTTACTGTGATAGAAAATGGGTAGGATGCTTCACACATATTGCCATATTTCATCTTCACAAGAATTCCCTATTTTACAGATAATGACAATTAGGTACAAAGAGATCAAGTAATTTTCTAGCTACCAAGTAGTAGAGTTTTGGATCTGAATTCAGTTCTGATTGTAGCTAAAGCAATGTACTTAACCATCATCTGGTATTGCATCCCTGTATTCCTCAAGCATGCCTATCTTCAAGCTGCTTTAGAATATCATGGATATATGCATATCCCAGTCATGTATAGCTATCGATGGACTGTCTCCTTTTCCATATCAGCTTCAGCCTGATCTACCTCTTATGTCTATATGGTTTTAATTTCCTGGGCTCAAGATGCAGAACCTCCAAACTCAATGGTCACTGCCTTTCTTCCACTGTGTAATTGCACCTTCCTTTCCAGAAGGAGCATCCAAAGAGGATAAGGGAGAGATCTAGCCACAAAGGAAATCGCTTTTTATACACATCAGTTCTTATCTGGCTATCATCAGCATGATTCTTAAGGAAGGAAACATGTTTGTTTTATTATTTTTAAAGAGGTCTTATTGAAACACATATGGAGGAAACCTAAGGCCATTGAGGACCTAACGATTTCTGCCTTTCATGACAGCCAGGGGTAGCCATTGCCTGGGTAGCATATAAAGATTGCCACCCTTTCCTCCCATTCAATCTGGATACCAAAGGACAGAAATCTGAAATGTGACCAGATAGTGACTGACAATGGTGGTTCTACCGTGGCCAGCTTACCTTGGCTTTCTTTGGTTGGGGCCCTTCATCATCAACCCAATGTTCACTTGTTCCAGAGCCAATTAGGTTAGCCTCTGAGACTTGCACTGAGAGATTTCTGATAGGACAAGATTAAGAAGGGGAAAAACAACAGCAGAGGTTATATCATAAACTAATATAGTGGTTTTTAATACTTCTTCCATGGTCATCCTCAAAGACTTTCAGGGGCTGTGGCCCAGAAAGGATGGGCAGTATTTTATGTCCCATTGCCTCAGTAAACATCCTTTCCTTTCCCATGGATCAAGAGATTACAACAAAAGTGCACCTCAACAAAGCTGAGCACCACCGCTTGAGTATGTACCAAACAGAAGCATCCAGACTCTATTATTTCATAGTCATTCAGCAGGAATTCAGAATCATGGTCAAGTGTGGTAATGTGGTGTGGCCAGAGCTTGAAATTTAAAATCATAATTCAACAAGATCTCCTTTCTGATTTATCCCTGCTTATTACTACTGTGAATAGTAGTTTGTTGGCAAACCATCTTACTTCAGCCCCACGGCATCCTGTCCCACTGGCTCACGACGCTTGTGATTGCTGGAGTCTCGGCGAAGGGTGAAACCTTCAGGCAGCCAGAGGGAGCCATGCTTACGCTTTCGTTTCGCCATGATAACTCCCAGCAGGATAATAAACAGGATAATGACAACAGCCACAGCAAGTAGATAGAGAAGCTGAGTGCGTTTTGGAGACAGAGATTCACCTGGAAGTGCAGAGGGACAGGGAAAGTGCTGAATAAATCTCGCAGCATTAGCACCAAATTCATTTAGAAGACATGGACTGACTGACCTCACCAGCCCCAAAAAACAGAGCTGCACATTGAAAAGTGTGCCCTTTTCTCACTGTCCCCAAGTAACGCCTCCCCTGCCCCAAACTTTCCCCTTAACACCAGTGCTACTCACTGACGACAGACACCAGAGGGTAGGACAGGGTCCCCTGGATGGCATGAGAAGCCAGAAGAGCTGCTGCTGCATCTGTGTTCTTGAAACACTGGTCTGAATCTTGAACACACTGGCGGTTGTCAATTTCCAGAAATACCTTAGAGCTGTGGGATGCCAAGGAAAAAGAGGAAAAAGGGAAATGGTGAGTAAAACAGAAGGGGGTCAGTTAAGCAAGTGAAGTTAAAAAGGATTACCTGTGCCTTCCCTCCTCACCTTCAGCACCGGGCTCTCCAGCTCTGTGAGGGTGCCTCCGAAAGATCTCAGAAATTAAGATCCTGTCCCTAGATCCTAACCACTAATTCCCACTTGGACTATGTCTCACCTTCCTTGGCCTGGCTGAGTCTGCACCTTCTGACTGAGGCAACACAAGACGAAGTGAGGAAAGTGGGTAAAGCTGGTCCTTATTCTCCTTTGTCTCTGCATCTGGATCCTAGCTAGCTATAGAGTTGAAAGTTGTGGGATACATCAACAAATAGTGGGGTGCAATGACAGAACGATTCAAAATTACTAAAGAGACTTCTATGATAAATGCAAGGCCTTGAACAAAAGGCAATGATTACTATAAAAGAAGAGTCAGTTCTAAACGGATCTGAGGCAACCGAGGCAAAGGGTTATGGATTCTGGCATCTGAGGAGACCTCCCTGACATCCTGCCTTCTGCTTGCTCCGACGCACCTCTTAGGATACCAAGACCAAGGTAAGCCTTTACCCTTAAACACACGTACCGGCAAACGGGTTTGTTGTACTTGGTGGGCTGTTCTACTTGTCTGAGCCCTACATTTTTATAGGTTCAGTTACGACTTCTTCTGTGTATCAAAGTATTTAGCTTTACAAGCTTTAAGAAGTTAAGAATTAAGCTTCAAGAGGTCTAGAAACCAAAAACCTACCCAGCCACCTCCTGTTCTTGATCACCAGGAAGGGACCTGCGAGTCATCCTCTGCTTCTTCATGGCAGCTGACTTCTCACCATAATAGGGGTAGACCATGAGTGCCCCTTGCGAGTCCCGTTTAATGTGCAGGTTGGTATGGAGCAGGGTGCCCAGCGCCCGCAAGAAGCTGCGGGCGTCCTGGAGCAGCTGCTCCGGGGGCATGAGCACCACTATAACCAGGGTCCCCTCTGCCAGGTTCTCTGGCCGGTCGGCAGCACAGTCCAGCCCGTCCCAGCCACACTCCTCACTGTTGCATCCCTGGTCACAATGGTTGTCTTTGAAGTGGTCTGCACAGTATTTGTCATACCTAGGCAGGGGGCATCAGAAGAGGGAGAGAACAAGGAAACAGTTCAGAATAGACTGCAGCGCTATTTGGTTTTCTACTTGGAACTACTGTAGCTTTTCCCACCTATCTTCTGTGGTCCAAATCAGGTCCCTTTGTCAAATCTCCTATCCCCGACAGCATAGACTGCGTATCATCTACACCACTCAATATCAGTGAGTGCTCCTCAAAGGAGAAACAACACTGTGCCCCCTATGCTGCATGGGCTTACAGCCCCCCAGGCAGGCAGCTGGTAATCAACAATTGTTAAGTCAGATTTGTAAGCAGAGCCGCATACCTGAAACAAAAATCAACCAGGTACACGCTTCCTCTCTTTTTTTATCCAGTATCCCTAGTGAGTTAACAATGAGCTTTTGGAAGTAAAAGTTGCCTCCAGGAACTGAACCATCAGGGCTCTGCAGAGGACCATGTCAATATGGCCCATTTCCTTCCCAAACAAGACTGAATCTTAGCTCTGGAAGGTAGGTTGGGAGAGGTGTGTCCCATACAGGAGACCAGATTTAAATTTGTGCCAGAGCACACAGAGCCGCTTTCAAATACTGGGAAAAGGAAATTGAGTCCCCAAACCTAAACGATGCACAAACCATTTCATCTCCACTCTCCTCCCCACTCCCACCCCTTGATAGTTATGCCATTGGTACAACTTGCCACACTGGCTCAATGAAGAGCTTGGGAGTCAGCAATAGCTGTATGTGCTCTGGCAAGTTCTCTAACCTCCCAGGTCTCAGTTCCCTCACCTGGGAAAGACCATTAACAGTACCTATGCCTCATAAGGTTGCTGAGAGCTCACTGAGGTTAAATTAAATGGGACAGCTAAAAGGAAAGTTGCTCTTTAACCATAAAGCACCTTGTAACTGCCACAGTAACGACCAGGAGGGTTAAGTGGCCTGATCTGGCTTCTGCTTCCTGATAAATCTAGATGGGGAAACCCTGTCTAAAAGAAAGGAATGGGGTGAACAGAGAGAGGTACAGACCTTTCCATTCATCCTGCAGGCAGGTGTGAGAGGCTGCCTGGGAATGGGTAACACCACTTCCAAAAGTTATTTCCCCTAGGAGGTCGTGAGAGCAGCAGGTAAGAATGCAGAGAGAGGCAGAGAGAGGGTGGCCGTGCACGAGCATTCCTGGATCTCTGTCAGCAAGGGAGAGCACAGGGCAGCGTGCGACGGGGCAAGGCTGACACCAGGAAGAGGGCCTCAGGGCACCAGTCTGAAAAGCAGAGGCAGCTTGGGCTGAAGCCCTGGAGTGGTTAGGAGCAAGAACGAGGAACCGAGGTGTGTTAGTGATAGTCTCCCTCAGCTTCTGGGGACCCTGGACTCTTACTTGCATGTCTTGCTGTTCCCCTGGCATTCAAAATTGTCAAAAAGGCACTCGGCTGTGTTGCACAGCTCATCACACTGGTTGTTGATGTAATCCCAGCAGGGAAGTGGGGAAGAGCAGTTGGCCCAGGGGTTCTCCATGGTCAGGGAACAGTCACCCCCATCCCACTGGCAGGCATGGCTGTTGCAGGCCTCATCGCAGACGCCGTCCCGAGCTTTGTCGGCACAGTACTGGCTCAGGCAGGTGGCAGGAGGAGTGCTGGTGGGGGCCGTGTAAAGTTCACAGCGGCTGCCCCAGAATGGTGGAGCACACTGGCAAGAGTAGTAAGGAGGCTGGCGCTGAGGATAGCAGCTACCCCCATGCTGGCAGGGGCTACTGGCACAGCCTGATTCGCAGTCCTGGGGGTTGGGGCAGAAGCAGCGGGGTCCTGAGGCCGTGTGCACACACTGCTCCCCTCTCCTGCACTTCACTTGTCCACAGCTGCTCTGGCATCTTGCCCCGGAGAATCCCTGTGGAAATCAGTGAACGAATGAGGACAGTGGGCCTCGTTTCTCCTCCCAATCCCTTCTCTGCCACACCTCCAGAAAGAGAAAGATTAGACACATGGCTAAGATCCTTCCACGTGGCCTCCTGCACCACGTTCTAGGAAGAAGCCTCTTCAAGTCAACCTAAGGTCAGGGATGAAGGTTCCATGGGATGAATGCAGAATTCTCTCAGGTTAAGAGCTCACTACCGGAAATTAAATCCACAGGTCATAGGTGGGATAAGACTCAGATGACACTGTTATCTATAAGCACCTTCCCTAGCTGTCCTTAGACCACTCATATAATGGCTTTGGGGCAGGGGAGGGGGACGTTATTTCAGGAGTCTGGCGCATCTAAAAAGCTTTCCATGTCATTTTATCCTTCTACTTCCTGCTCAGCCAGACCAAGGTGACTGCCCAGGTTTCCTTTTGGTATGTCCTCACACATAGGGATCTGTATTTTAGGGAGGTTTTAGCCTCTGGCAGAGGCCAAAGAGTTTGCACAGCAAATGGCTAAAAATAGGCTTCCTTCTAGTGTAACAAGCAGCTTGCTCCCCAATAGTCCCTGCTAAGGAATGTAAGCAGAGCAGCATTTCCGACCAACACTGCCCCAGTCTGGGAGGCAAGACTACCCTCCAGCACACCCAGAAGCCAGAGACCCTAGTCTTGTTTTCAAGGGAACATTCCACCAATTCCCGTGGATTTCTCTTAGTGCTTCTAAAGACTGAGAATCACAGATTTAGGGAGCTCACTGTTTCTGGGCGTATCTTAACAGCTTTAAATGGGAGGAAACTCCAGCACTTCTTTGTGAAGGAGCCAAAATTAATAAATCTCCCCACCAAGAAAGTTCCAGATAGAGTGTGGAAAAACCAGGTTTAATCTCAGCTTTGTCCAGACTGTATGAAAAAGAGCATGCCCCTCAAATAGACAACATGGCACTTACCGGGGGACAACGACAAATGAAACCATCAGGCATGTTGCTGGCCACAGCACAAGTCCCCCCATTCAGGCAAGGCATCTGGGGACACACATCGACGAAAGTTTCACAGTGACGACCTCAAAGCAGAAAATGGAAAGGAGTTTTAAAAGGCAGAAGTAGTAACTGCACATTACTGAACAGAGTGCTGCTGGGACAGGAGCTAGCCAAGTGGTGAGGGATGGGGCAAGAGGTGTGAGCTGGGTCCTAAGCCCAAGGGAACATGAGAAGATGAGGAAAACACTCACTGGACCGCCACTGGCTCAGGCCAATACCCCCATCTGCCTTGCCCACACAATAAGTACACGGGGCACACATCCCCAACAGACTCACAAAACAGGATGGAAAGGGACGTGAAAAATCATTCTAATCTGACCAAAAGAAAGAAAAAAGAGAAGAGAAGAAAAAGAAAAGGACACCTCAGCTTTTTTATTTTTTTGAAGATACTTTTAGCTTTCATAAGCCGAAAGAAACATTTACCAAAACTGTTCAGTGCATTTTGTTAAAGCTGTCAACTTCATAGGAGAGGCTACACCGGGCCAACACATCCAAGTGGTGACTGGTAGCTTACAGAGAATTTTCATCCATAAACTCTCTTTTCAGTCATTTTCTAGCCATTCTGTAATCTGATCAGCACTGCTTTAAAATACAGCTTAATTTTTCCAGAGTTAATTTCCTCTAGAGGCAGTTCTAAAACAGAGGGCATCCCGAGGCCACCGCTGCAGGATAAAGTGAAGTAAGCAACTGGGGCCGAGGGGGAGACCCGGAGACACACCTGTTCGCCCCCCACCCCGGGCAAACAGCAGGAGATGGGCCCACCCGGAGCGCAGCCGCTGCCCAAGGGAAGAGGAGGGGCTTTCAAAAGGAAATTAAAACAGGCATAGTTTTGGCCAGAGTTAAGAGGTAAGGGTTACAGTTGCCTGACTCTTCAAATCACAGCGGCAGCCACAGCCCAAGAGCAGCCGTCATATGGGCATGGGGCTCCGGGACAGACGGCCCCCTGGCGTTCATCTCAGCAACCGCATCCCGCAATAATTACAACCAAGGAGCTCGAGGCATTCTTTTCCATCACAAGTGTGGACAATGCATCACCACTACTTCCCGGTGGTGGGACCCTAATTTAAGGTGGTCTTCAGTCCTTCCTTCCTGTTTCCCCCTTTCTTTGTAAGTGCTTGTCAGGGTTTCCTGGTAAAGGAAGCCTCCAAGGCAATAGCAGTTAGTTTTGCTTCTCTGGCTTCCCAAGCACCTCATGGCTAATATGAGGCTGCAGGACAGACTGTTCACGCTCTTTGTGTCCAGCATTGCCTCAGTAGCTATGACGTTCATAATGCACTGTTCCTCTTTTGCTATCGCATCCAGGTATCTTCCATAGTGCAAACTCCCTCCCATTCTTCATAAATTACCAAAGTTTTTAAAGGTAACATATCTTTAAAATTGGAAGGAAGGAAGTCTAGAGATGGGCTCACAATATAGCAGAGTCCAACTTGCCAAATTATTACTAAGGAGACTACTGTAGCCTATTATCTGACTCCCAAGAAATACTACTACAGCATAGTCTGGAAGGACTCCAGAAATGCCAGGCAGACGTCTGAGTATCTGAGGACACCGCCACTGTTAGATACTACTGTAGTCCCCCGAAGTCACCAAGCTGTCCATCTTCAGAAACAACTAATAAGTGCCTATGACAAGCCCCCATTCTGAGGCAGGACTTGGTCATCCTTATGATCTGTGATGAAAAAGAGGAAGCTTGAGAAGAGACTGGACGCATGGCCAACTCCTGGCTGTGCTGAGAGGTCACACCTCTGTAGCTTTCTAGTACATACTCTCATGAACTGGTCTTTGCTTAAACACACCCAAGTCAGACCTCCTCCCCTTAGGTGACCTAGAAGATCCTAATCCTCTCTGGGTTCCAGAGATGGAAAGAAGGTCACCGTGGCAGTGACCACCCAGTAACTCAGGTCATTACGTGCCAAATGAGACAGGTGGTGAAACCAGAACAGATGCATGGTTTCTGAACACAAGACATTATTTTCCTCAGATGAAAGAGTTCTGTGGATGGATTTGGTGTTGGCAGCCCAGCAACGTGAATGTATTTAATACCACTAAACTGTACACTTAAAAGTGGTTAAGATGGTACACTTTATGTTATGTGTATTTTGCCCCAATTAAAAACTGTTATTTTGCTCAACCACTCCCAACATTCTACTTCTTTTTTCGTATTTCTGCTACAGTATGATATCATCAGTGTATAACAAAAGAGAAAGTATCCCAGGAAAAACAAAAAAGACAGAGATGGACTATAACATCCATAAAGCACAGACCTAAGGAAAAACTGGGCTCTGAATTAAGCTGGTCTAGTTTTTCCTATGTAAGAAAAAAGGTTCACTTGGGTCTGGGACGTGACATATGGGGCCCAATTTCCTCTCTCAAGGTCCCTCCGAGGCAGAGTGCTGAGGGTGCTGGCGAGACTCTCACCAGTGAAGGCATTGCGGCAGACACACAGGTAGTCGTTGGTCAGCTGGATGCAGTCCAGGCTGCCCTCAGAGCTACAGGGGCTCGAGAGGCACTCGTTGATGTCCCCCTCACACCGCTCTCCAGCAAAGCCAGGCAAGCAGCGACAACTGTAGCCCCCGATCCTGTCCACACACTGACCACCATTAAGGCAGTGGGGACCCCCGGCACAGTCATCAATGTTCTCTTCACAAAGCAGGCCTGGAGAAAAGAGAGAAGAGACAGAGAATGGATGGCATTCTTTGGAACGCTGCTTTCCAGCCAAAGAGAGACACCCTTGTTGGCACTTTGCACTTATTCAGGTTACATGTCTCAATCTGCGACGGGACCTCTTAGGTCAGGCAGGGCGAAGCTGCCACCCTCCCGGTGACCGGTAAGAGCCAAGGAAAGAATATGCTCAGGGCTTCACAGGTACTCTCCCACACAACCCACCAAAGCAGTCCCCTGGGCAGGAGCCAGCATTATCTGCCCCATCTGGGAGACCCAGCAACTTTTCATTAATTTATTCCTTTTACTCAAACTATAAAAACAGTTCAAAAGAGACTATCACAATCAACACATAGATTATAAGTATGTAAAAATATTGGTAAGAACTGGAACTAAATTTTGAGTGATATATTTAAGTTTTAGACCATTGACTTTTTTTCCTGTAAAATAATGTGTACTAGTTTCTTATTTTTAAAAACTGTAGGGAAAATATCCTGTTGAGAGCTCAAAGGTTATTCCATTTAAAATAGAAATCATTTAATGTACTATAGATGTAAATGAGCCATCTAGTATGAACATCTGTAAATATTTTTTAGAGTACAAAAGAAATCAATGACAATTCTAGAGATGATTCTATGAATGATTCAAAAAATTACAAAAGATTGGGGCGCCTGGGTGGTTCAGTTGTTAAGCGTCTGCCTTAGGCTCAGGTCATGATCCCAGGGTCCTGGGATCGAGCGCCGCATCGGGCTCCCTGCTCAGCTGGGAGCCTGCTTCTCCCACTCCCCCCACTTGTGTTCCCTCTCTAGCTGTCTCTCTCTCTGTGTCAAATAAATCAATAAAATCTTTTAAAAAAAAAATTACAAAAGAAAGGTAAACAGTTCTGTATTCTTGCCACTTAAATTTGTAGCATACACTAATATAAGCAAGACTATTAAAAAGGAAAAAGAGGGCTACTGGGTGGTTCAGTCAGTTAAGTGTCTGACTGGCTCAGGTCATGATCCAGGGTCCTGGGACAGAGCCCTACCTCGGGCTCTGTGCTCAGCAGGGAGCCTACTTGTCCCTCTCTCTCTTCCCCTCACCCCTGCTCATGCTCTCTCTCAAATAAATAAATAAAATCTTAAAAAAAAAAAAAAAGGAAGAAAAGACCTCATTTTCAATAGCAATAGCAAGAGACAAATATAGGAATAATCTTAAAAAGAAATGTACTATACCTATATGAAAACTTTAAAATAGCCCTGAAAGGCACAAAAGGAGATATGAATAAATGAAAAGATGTTACGATTTGGTTAGGAAGACTCCTCATTGTAAAGATGTCAGCTTTCCTTACACAGATTCATAAATTTAATGTGACCCCCATAAAAAATGCCACCAGGATTTTTTAATAGACAATCTGATTCTAAAGTTATATGAAAAAATAAACTATAACCACAGTCTGGAAAATTAAATTAATTAATTAAAACAGAGTGGTATTGATAAATTAACAGAACAATAAAGAAAAAAAAAGTTCAGAATAACACCCAAATACACAAGGGAATTTAGAATTTGATAAAGCTGCCATCTCAAATTATTGTATAGATCAAATATTCAGTAAATTGTGTTGGGGCAAATTAGTAGCCATATGGAAAAAGTGCTCCAGTATTCTAGTACTTGAAGAAAATATGGGAGAATTCCTTTATAATCTTAGAGTGTAGAAGGTGTTGCTGACTAGGATTCAAAATCCAGAAGCCATTAAAAAAAGGCTGATAAATCCAATCTGATTAAAAAGAAAAAGCTCCAGGGGCACCTGGGTGGCTCAGTCGTTAGGCATCTGCCTTCAGCTCAGGTCATAATCCCAGGATCCTGGGATCGAGCCCCG